AATAATAATCGACAATAATAACTCTTACTTGTACTCCGCCTCGTCCCATCGGGAGGCCGCGGGGGCCAACTCCCGGTGCTGCCTTGGCAGCAGGCCTCCAGTTGTCTGCACATAGTACTCTTGTTTCTTCTCGTCACCATGCACGAACGTCTCGAACTCGGACCGTGCTTCGTTTTCTTGTTCTTTATACTCAGCCTTGCACAGCGTTTTCGAAAGCTGGTGCCTCTTGTATTCTTCGTAATCTTCTCTCTGTTCTCCCTCCCAAGTTCTTGGAGGATTTCTCCCATATGCTTGTTTACGAGCTCTCACGTGGTCCCGTTGGCTGTGCATTGGAGGGGGAACTTCTTTCAAAAAGTCTTCCAGCGACCGGCTGCGCCGACGCTGTTGGTACAGATGATTGTCCATGACGGTTCTTGGAAGATAAGCAAGGAGGTTGTTTTTAGCGATTGAACGAATCTCGAAAAAGAAAGGAAGACAGAAGCTGTGTGCGTATCACTATCATTCAAGTCCGGGTAGAGTGTAAGTCGCCGTTCTTTTCCATGTTGGATGAGGTCGTAGAGGTCAATCAGTGATAGGATTATGTGTTGAAGATAGAACATCAGGGACCTGCCGTCAATTCACCCTGAACCGTCTGTATGGAGGGGCGCATTGGTGCTACGCTGAACATCAGTCACGAAATCACCCGGGGGCCAACCAATCAATGGGTCTGTGGAGTGACTGGTGACTTGAATTCAGCACTCGCAGCAAGTTGTGAGTCGCTCGGAAAGTGACTGCTTGGTTTCCTCAATAGAACAGCACAGAAGATTCTGGGCCAGCGTGCCCAAGTCCACGGGCGAATTCGATGCGGATCGCGTCGAAAGCCACTGCGTAAACGGTGCTTCGCGCTAGTCAGGCCTGGGACATCTGCTCGCCCGCCTGACAGAGCAGTTCCCTTCCCTCTCAGACACGCCTTACAATTCATCCATCGCCAAATCACCCACCGCGGCACCACGATTCTCCAATATGGGGTCCTGTTTGCTTCTCGAAGATCTTCCGACAGAGCTTCAGGCCCTCATTATGAGGCAAGCTCCGACGATCGAGTCGTTCTACTGCCTCATACGTGCCTCACCTTGTTATTACCGAGCATTCTTGTTCATGAAAGAAGACATTCTCTCCCATCTGGCCCGCCGAATCTTCCATCCCAGTGTGATGTCAGATGCCCTCGCAGTGGTAGAAGCAACCAAAAGTATGGAGCGCCGACCAACTCGAGCGCTCCTCATGTCTTTTTCTTGAGAGACTAGAGCGCCGCAACTTGGAAGAGGTGCTCTCAGTCAAGAGGCTGCCTCTGTCTACTTCTATTTCATTATGCCAGCTTCATCGAACCATCAACTTTTTCATCGACGACTACATCACCCAGACAGCAGCCTTCTTAGACACTCAGTTCTACTGGACCTCATCCAGCAACATCGGAAGAAGGCCGCAGCAACAAGGACATTGTTCATTCAGAAGAAGAGATTAGTCCGGCCTTCGACGATCCTCTCTCAGCTGCCGAAATAGCACGGCTCCAACGAGCATTCTGTCGGCTTGAACTTTTCGGTTGCTTGTTCTACAACGACATCGAAAATCATGCCATTCTCAGCCCTCAGGAACAGTCCGATATGTTTCTCGCCAATTTCCCATACTGGCAGGTTGAGGAAATAGCATGTATCCGTGATTACCTCATCCGCCGACTGTGCGGACCGTTCGATCAGGTCGAAAACTATTGGGTGGAATCAAAGCTCAAAGAAGGTCTCGATATGGCTGATCGGTGGCAATATGAATTTGCCATAGATGTGTCTTTCTTCGGAAGGGATAACAAAGAAAAACAAATCGATACCATGGAATATTTTCTCTTAATTGGTCTGGAAACGCTTCGACGCATCTTTTCAGCAACAGGAGCAGAACTGTATGATCTTGTGTATTCCTATTCTGCAGACGGGCCATTATACACTCTCAATTCCGCTCTCAAAGAGCCTCCGAAGCGTACCCACGAGCACTTCCGGCTGGGGTTCGACTGGAGAAACAGTGCGGTGTTGTCACGTTGCGATCGAGATGATCCCGATTGTCCGAATGAAGGTTGGCTGTGGGCGAGTCACTATCGTCCTACATGGAGATACGCTGAGGATCGCAAGAAAGGCCTGGGAGATTGGGGTTATGTGTTCTGGGACTGCCCAGGACTGGAAGCGTGGGGAGTGCTTGATAAAGAGTGGGTGTCATTTTGCCCACCCCTATCTTCTAACGAGATGAATGCGCTAAGCATCTTAATTTTCAGTCCAGATGAACTGGCAGAGTATAGATTCGACGAGGACGCGAGGGCAGAACAGATCACCGCCGACGAGCGCCTGTGCAGGTTACTGTACTTCCCGCTCGTGCAATAGATACCAGAGACGAACGGGACCTGGCGTCTTTGGTTCAATTATCAACAAGATGCTCGCTGCGTGCCGATTGGGTAGAGGTGTGATTCCTCGGGCAATACACCTACCGCAACTGTGACAGCGAGGAGATGCACTTGATCATTTGTCTTACGATTATGGTCATTAAATGAACAAAAATCGGCCTGTCCATTGACCACAGGGTAACGAATCCCTTGTTAAAAGCTTCAATCTGATTCTTTTTTAATACTTGTTTTTCTTCTTCTTGGGACTAAAAAAAGAAGTTCAGCATTCTTTTCATTCACTTCTCTTTCCCTCGTTTTGTCTTTTTTTTTTTGGACATTTTTTTTGGACATTTGAAAACACAAAGTTGAGCTTTGTTTCTACACAGGAATCAGATTCGAATACGATAACTACATGACCGACAGAAACAGGAAAACTGTATTATCTACCTTTTCAACAATTAGTTGCCAAAACAGCCAGGCTTAATACGTCTGCAGGTGATAAGGTTCATCCGGATCTCAAACATCCTTTGAGATCTCCATGCGCAGGTACAGTGCGCTGCTCCAGCTGATTATTATGGTTTATTTCCTTTTTTACCTAATACAGATGTTGTGCACCTACAAAGCAACAGTCTGTCTCGATTATGATTGGGTGACAGATTAATTAGCGAGATAACCTAGAAACACAATTTCAGAGTTATTATAACCAATCCAGTTAGATTGTGTCCCGAATACGATGATCAAGGGGGTGGCTGGATCTGCAGTGCTTTTGTTGCCTGGCTAGTTCGGCGTCTGATCTCAGGCAACACAAGTGCTGCCTTCTCCGGGCTCCACAGAGATCTCGTATTGGCAAGCGTAAATACTGCAAAATGTCCACCCGTTTACTTACAATGTATCGGGTGAAAGTACGCATATTAATTACTCTATTCTCATCGTTCGACCTAGCTTGCTGTATTGCATCATGTCTTCGCCAACGTCCATCCTCTCCCAGACCCTCCAGTCCATCACCCTCACCAAGATCCGGGAACTGGAGAAGCAGCGCAACACATACGAGACGCGCAAAAACCAAATCCTTGCTGACGCAGATCGCTGCGACAGCCAGCGCGATCGGTTGGCGCTGCTCCTGTCTGGCGTCAACGAGCTACTGTACTCCTCCTCTTCATCCAAGGACCCCACCATCTCGAACATTGAGCGTTGGCTGGACCAATCTCGCTATGATACATCCATCCCCAAGCATCTTCTTCAGTCCTTTGAGGAGCAGTTGCGCGCCAAACTGGCGATCCAGAGCAGAAAGCTCACCTTGGCCGATCTGTACTCTCGTCTGCTGACCGAGTGGATGAACCCGCCTGCCCTATCTGTTTCCAGTCAATCAGAGGAAGACTCGTTTGAGCTTGTGGAGCGCCAGAAGCAACGACTCCAGGAGCTGTGCGACCAGTTTGAGGCCGTCGTCTTCGAGCCGCTCGAGACAGACGAGGCTGAGATCCACGAGTTCATGCGCTCGCTTTTCCCTGATGCGGAGAGTATCAAGGCTCTCGAGAATCTTCGAAAGAAGATAAACGATGAGAGCACTTCCATCCTGACGGAGGAAGCGCCGTTCACGGAGGACTCCCTTACAAAGTGCATCAAGGGACTGCTGACCGAGAATATCCTCAGCGACGAGAAGCAGGCCATCCTGCGCGACTTCCTGCAGAATAAGGTCGCGCTGGCAGAGATTGCTGATGTCCTCAATATGCGATATGCCGACATCAAAAATTGGGACTGGCATGCTGGCGACAAAGGCATCCCCGTCATACCTCGGCAGCAGCTGAACGGGAAATACCGCATCTGGATGGACGAAGATGTGCTCCAGACCATCTTTGTGCAGTACATCGGTATCCGCCTGTGCATGCTACTCAAGGCGGTTCTGAGGGGATTTATCAACGATGAGTCGGTCTGGAATTGGGCCAGCGGGGCTCGAATGACACAGGGCGACATTGATAGACGCAGGTATTACCTCGCGACTAGCTGGAAATCGAGCGCAAATGTCGAAGCCGAGCGGAAGGAAAGCTACATCTCTACATTCTTCCTCTCTCAGCTGCCCACCACAGAGAGTTCGCTGTATGAATCGGGTGGCGGATACGACAATGACGACGGCGACGACGACGACGACGACGACGACGACGACGATGATAATGGTAATCCCAAAAGCAATGGGTCGACAAGTATCAAACAGAAACTTCTGCGCAAGCTCGCCACTGAGGTTCTCCTCCATCGTCATCTCCGCGGCGAAGTGGCGGTCGTGCAGTCAGACTTGAAGTGGTACGCGACCGGTCTTCCTCACAGCACCATTTTCGCCGTGATGCGCTTCGTGGGTTTCCCGGAGGAGTGGATCCAGTTCTTCAAGAAGTACCTTGAATCTCCGTTGAACATGGACCGTTCTTCGGACGACAGAGTGCCCGTCGGACCCCGGATTCGCAAGCGGGGAGTTCCTATGGCTCACTCTTCCGAGAAGTTTCTCGGTGAACTGGTCCTCTTTGTTCTGGATCTCGCTGTCAACAGAGAAACCGGCATGCTCTTGTACCGTCTACACGACGACCTCTGGCTCTGTGGCGAGCCGAAGAAATGTGCGCGAGCGTGGGAGGTGATGCACCGATTTGCGCGGGTCATGGGACTAGAATACAACCAGAGCAAGACGGGATCTGTCTACCTGACAAAAGACAAGAGGGACTCGAAGGTCGTCTCAGTTCTGCCCAAAGGCCCTGTGACGATTGGGTTTCTGACGCTGGACGCCGAGTCCGGCGAATGGACCATCGACCACGCCCAAGTGGACGCGCATGTGCAGCAGCTGCAAAAGCAGCTGAATGCGTGCGACAGCGTGCTCTCGTGGGTGCGGACGTGGAACAGCTGCATCGGCCGGTTCTTCAGCCACACGTTCGGCGAGCCGGCCTTCTGCTTCGGGCGTCGCCATGTGGACGCCATTCTCGAGACATACGAGCGGATGCAGCGCACCCTCTTTGGCGGCTACGGTACCACCGTCACTGAGCACCTGCGACGCATGATCCGCTCGCGCTTCGACGGCGTCTCCGACGACGACATCCCGGACGCCTTCTTCTTCCTACCCGAGGAACTGGGCGGCCTGGGCCTGCGCAACCCGTTCGTGCCGCTGTTCCTCGTGCGCAACAATCTTGACAAGGAGAAAAGCCCCGAAGAGCGACTGGCAGACTTCCTCGCGCGCGAACGCGAAGCATACCAGACGAAGAAGAAGCAGTTCGACGAGCTCTCCGAGTCAGCCCGTCGGCGGCGCTTCATGGCCTTCTTCCCGAACGAAGACATCCACAAGGCCAGAGACGTCGACCCGGACACCTTCATGTCCCTTGATGAATTCTCCCGCTTCCGCGAATCCGTCAGCCAGGATCTGCACAGCCTCTACCTGTCGCTGATGAGCATGCCGCCGACAGAGGACATTCATCTGACGCGGGAGGTGCGGCACGCGCTGGACCAGCTCAAGTCGACGACGGGGCAGATCGCCACCGCGAAGAAGATGATGGCTAGCGCGACCAAGTGGATTTTGCAGATGTACGCGGGGGAGATGTTCGAGCGCTGCGGCGGGCTGAGTCTCGTCGAGAAGAGGTACTTGCCCACGGGGGTGTTGGCCATGATGCGCGGGAAGAAGGTTACGTGGCAGATGGTTCTGTAAGCCCTATCGACTATGATGTATGTATGTACATATGTCCAGTATGGATATATCTGCATGGTAATACATTATAGTTACGTTGAAATATGAAATCCATGGGACAAAGGAAGAAAGAAAGATATTCTAGCCATAATTAGGGCTAGAAAAGGGGTTTATATAAAGAGTAAAAAGTACTATTTGTATGTACATACAGTACATGGTAACTAATTTTACCTTGTGGTTACAATAATATACAGATTTTACTTTTGGCCATTTCACAGAGAAATTGGACTGGTCCTCGCAGCCTATCGGGGAACACGTTAGTCAGCCTAACCCCTGTATACGGGCGTAGTTAGCCAAAAATCAAGAAGACACCTTTTCACAACCTGTGGGCCGGCCTAAGAGATTGAGCGACAAGATAGCTTTTGCGGTGTCATCTGCGTCTGGAAGAATTCCAGAGGCTGCAGCGGATCAGCATACACTGTCTGAAGATTCCACTCGGAGGAAGCAACGCACCAAACCAGCGATTCCTGAATTGTTCTCTAGGTGGGTCTCCAGGAAGTCTGCAATTTTGGAGTGGTCAGGAATATAAGATACAGAAGTAGATGTTACGGACCAACAAACCGCAGTGCAACGTGGAAATGCGGCACAGCAGAAGAAAACCCCGCAGGGACAAGGAAATAAGGCACACACCTCGCGAAGCGTCCAGGAGGAAATTGGCAAGACGAACAAGGGGACGACGGAATATTAAAGGGCGTTCCTTACCATCATGTATCTACTCTTATTCGCGCTGAATAATAATCCCTTACTTCGTTGTCTAAGGGGTCGAACTAAGGTAGCTTGAGTAGGCGTGCCTCTTGTTTTTTTTTCCGCAGCGAATCTATACCGTGGGTACCATTATAATACCTCATCGACAGGTTGAGATACGGGGAACAGTCCCAGGAAGTGTGATCATTTCATCATATATCCTTCGAAACGACCAACCCAGGAGACAACGCACAACTAAGTTGACAATAGATTCGGTCATTAGAGATCTTTAACCTGTTGTTACAGATTGTGCCGCCAGGAATCTCACACACAACGAGTCTGTATGGACCTCATCGCACATGTGTCCAGAATGTGGTATCGGACTCTTCTCGATTAGTGAAAGCTAGAGGATCAATATCCATGAATGTACTGTACAGTACATATGGACGCCTAATTTCTCGGCTGCCCCCCTCTCGCCCTAAAACTATCCCTTTTGCCCCCCAACCTACTTTTTGCCTTTTTTTTTGGGAATAACCCAGTATTTTTTTACGGTAATGCATTGTTTTCTTTGAAAACTGGCATGTTCATTACTATAAGACATCCCTGAACCATAGGAAGAACCCCCCTGTGAGCCCTACAAGGGAACCCTTGTGGAAAGAACCCCTCGCCGCAGGCTTCCTGACAGGCAAGTTTGTCAACAACCAGCACGAAGGCACCCGCTTCAGAGACGACAACCCTCTCGGCAAGGCGGCGCAGAAACTGTTCAGTGCAGAGCAGTCAGTTGTGACAATATTACTATTCTTAACTATTTCTATGTAGCATTTTATATTTATTTCTTTTTTTTTTATTATTCTTTTTCTTTCTCTTTCCCAGTGTTTCATCTCCTCGTATATTATATATATTACTAGCTACTTACTACCCTAGATTATTAGTTTAAATTCTATTCATTCATACTCATTTTACCTATCCGAGGATTTGAGAGCTTTACATCTTACGTCTCACTGCTACCTCCTACTTCAAAAGATACAGTACATCCTGCCAGAATCGACACCGCTCTGGCAATAGTTTGATGATTCCGCTCTCATCATCTTGCACAGGACGTACAAAATTGCTTCCTAGGTTCTGGACCGTCAACGTCAAACCCGGACCCGTCTTTGCCTCTGCCGGCGGAAAGAAAGGTAATCCAGGCCCGTTTGGTTGGCCCGTCTCCGCGAATCGCGTAATGTAACGCTGCAGCAGCTCTGCCACGGTCGTGTTAACCGTGTTGACCCCTTCGACCTGTCCGAAGTCGTAGAAGGTATACGACAAGTCGGCGCCGTGGACGGCGGGCGGGACGGAGAATTCATATGCGTACGTCGGCGTCACGAAGCTCGCCTGGTCCATGAAGCGCGCGTTGCACACAACGGTGGCGTCCGCAAAGGTCAGGTTGTTCCGCTCCGTCTGGTTGGTGTAGCCCTGGGAGCCGTCGAAGACCGGCGGGTACAGTTCCTGGGTGATGGTCTTCAAGGCAGCGGGATTCTGAGCCAGAGGCGTGATGAGGGATTTCAGGTAGGCTTCATAGGATGCTTCATCTGTGACTAAACTGTTGGGCACGAAGCGAGAGCCCTCATCCCGATTGTGGCCCGTGAGTACGGAAATGTTCCGATTAAAGCGCTGCTGTTGAAATAGCTTACCCGGTAGGTCGGGAACGTAGTTGCCGTCAGGAACAATGCCTGGAAATAAGTCGATCAGCGAGTGGCTAGAAATTCTGACGAAGAAAGTAAAATTACCAAAGGTAAAAGTTCCAAAGGGTCGCGAATTCCCCACGAGAAGCGCATTCAGCTTCTGCAGATCGGCCGACGACATGTTGCGGAGTGCGGCGAGCGAAGAGACGTTTCCAAAGCTGAGGATCGCTTCGACGTGAGAGTTTGGAGATGGATAGGTCGGCAGCCGGAAAGGGCTTTGCGCAATGGCGCCTTGAAACGGAGAAGGTCCTTTGGCACCCCCGTACGCGGTGATATGGGCTTCAACAGAGGTGGCACCGGCTGACTCACCGGGGATGGTCACCTTGGCAGGATCGCCACCGAAGAGATGGATGTGTTTCTGGACCCATTCGAGGGCAAAGCGCTGGTCCAGCAAGCCCGCGTTTGGGTGTTACCCCATCGCCATGCATCCATCCCTTAACTTGTCAGCGCTATCTATAGTCATAGAGAGAGAGAGCTTGATGCAGATGAAATCCTGGCAGAACTCACAAAAAGACCGAGACGGTAGTTTATCGACACGAGAATCACTCCCTGGCTGCCGGATTGCTGGCTCCGCGTCACCAGGCCATGGCCTTGCCCGCTGGCGTCTTTCCAGCCGACGACAAAGACGCCGCCAGGAATCCACACGAGGACGGGCGCACGACTCGTCTGACGTGTTTCCCAGATTCCTTGGGGCACTAACACATCGAGGAACAGGCAATCTTCCGACGTGCGCGGATCGACGGGTGGAATGTCGTCGGCGGTGAATGGCGAGACAGCGCCTGTAGTGAGCCACTTGGGATAAGCTTGGGGGCAGATGACGCCGCTTGCGTTTTGAACTGCAGTGCGGTTTACCGGCGGGGGAGCTGGAGCATTGAAGCGCAAAGGCCCGAGGGGTGCGGCGGCGAAGCGGATGTTTCCGAAGGTAACGAGGGTGTCGTTCTGGAAGGAGATTCTTGTCAGTCTCGAGTTGGCAGTAACAGGGCGCAGATGCCTTGTTAAATAGATGGGTATGCAGAGCTTACAACCACGCAGCCCTGGTTCAGTTGATAGCCAAGGTCCACAATGTAGGAAGAGTTGGACGGATTCGAGAACCACCAGGAAGTGATCAGAGGCGTGAATATTGCAAAGAGTGCGACAGCAACTGCAAGAATGGTGAAGACTGAGAATAAAACATGTTTATTAGCACATTAATCACAAGGGGAGATCGAAAACAATGCAGTCATGATCCCTCAAACAAATATAGTCCATACTGGAAACTATGTAAGGAGATGACATAGTAGTGGCTGTGGAGTGTGGACACTTGATGTTGTAAATAGTGACTGACAGGGTTACCGTACTATACAAAGCGGGAATGTATTTAGAAAAGCAAGCAAAGGCAGGCATAGAATAACCTGCCTTTATTATAGCTCTAGTTCATTAGATTCCGGACGCCCCTTCCTCTCCCTCTCGTGTTGCGCGTAAGCTGCAACCTAGACTTGCCATCTTTCTAAACCTCTACTATGCCATCATGAACCCAAATACAGTTCTATAGAGCTAGGTCCCTATATACAGGCAAAATCATTCGCTATTATAAGGCTAGGCTAGGTTTATATTAAATCACCAAGGATTTATTCTTTTGCAAAGTATAGTTTAATATTAATATTATAACCCAAGATATAGCTTATATAAAAAGAAAAACCTTACTATAAACTAGCTAGCCTAAAACACTTGCAAAAGGGACTAACAGATAATTTTTTAGTCCATTTATCAAAATCTAAAGGTAGACTGGCCGCATGGACAGGAAATTCCAGGTAATGCGGTGCCCTAGTATGTTATCTAGATCTGCCGTCGTCTTGTGGGGAAGCCTAAGTCCAGCAGCTCACCTCGTCGATAAGTGACAGATATAATAATACTATTATTAGTACAGGTACTAAGGCTATAAAGTCCTTGATGAGCTATCTACCTTTGCTAGCTTTAATGCTGTTTTTAGTTAGAATTTGCTACATCGTGGCTATTTTAACTTTATTTATGAAGCCTATATGGTCCTATTCTACGGAGCACGTTTTAAAGCTATATAAACCTAGCAATTAGATGTATTGTTAGCTTTGGAAGGAGGTAGCTGTTAGTAAATGCATTCCTAGTCGATGCAGCCTTCAGGGCTGTCAAGCTGTATCGCCAATTCAGCTGGTCACGTGAGGGCTACTTCCCTATCGACCTCTCATCCGCCCAATGATCCCCGGTCAGGTGACTCGGTCCTCCGTAAAGCGTCTGGATGGAAAGGTCTCTGGTCCAGCAGTATTTGCGGAGTGGGACAGCTGTTGTTATTATTATCATTATCAGTCTGGATTCACGTCGGGCGGTTTTAGGCATCTGCCCCATCGTCCGAACGGGTCCCCGCCTTCTTTTTCGCCCACGTCAGAGCTTTCTCCACTGCTGAACCACTCTCTCATTCACCGCAATCCTGTGGTGAAGGTCTCTGTTTACTCCTCCATCTCAAATCAGACGGAACCAGCTGCCATGCCAGTCTGAATGTCGCACCATGACGACTGCTGCCACCACAACCGCCTGATCCGTCTGCTGTAGCGCCTCGCCTTGCCGTCACAATCACAACGGCGCCGGATCCGACCACTGAGCCGCCGCGTCTTGCAGCTCTTAGGCGCCAGCGTGTGCGCCCCACGTCATTCCATCCAACCCGAAACCGCCCATCCCAACCTCCCTGCGCGTTTCGACCATCGAGCCTGATTTAGAAAACGAAGCCTGACACGTGCTCTCGACTGGCACACGGCCTCGGGCGCCATGTCCGCGAAGCTTCGAAACATCCTCAGCAACCGTGATTTGGAGCGAGAACGAGCAACAACAAAATCCCCCAGGCTCAAAGATCGTGACAAAACACGGGACGGAACCAA